GAGAGAGAGAGAGAGAGAGAGAGAGAGAGAGAGGACCAAGAAGTCCGAGTTGTATCTATAATCTCAGATGAAGATATGATTAAGCTATTGCATCAAGCTATTGGCAAGTTCGAAGTTCGTATTTCGATGAATTGGAAAAAGGTGTGACTATTTTTTATTTCTTTGTTTCTTTCTTATGAATTGTGTTTGATGTATTTTGTGGGGCTTGTAACTGTAAGGCAACTGGTTAGCCTATTACTTTATTATATCTTTTTCAATCTACTTTTGTATATTTTGTAAATACGGCGTAGATTTCTTGATGTGAAGCCATTTGGCCAATTGGTGAATTGAAACTGTGTTTACTTGATCTGAATTCCTTGTTGATGTGCTTTAAACTTGTATATGGTATTGGTGAGACTAAAACTGGTTAGAGCTTGAGTTTTAGATTAGGATTATGTATTAATATCAACTGATACAACCGAAGATGATGGTTTGAGTTTGATATTTAGGAGAAAGTCAAGTACAGAAACTAATATTAGCTTTGCTTGGGGGACATATTATGTCTGCTTGGAAGAATTTGGTGCCATGAAAATGTAGGGCCAGTTTGAAACATTGTTGATTAGTTCATTGGGCTAGTGTTTGAGATTTTGGATGCATCCTCCTGTGTAAGATTTTTCACTTACCAGAGTTCTTTTACATGTAGGAGCCCAGTTTTGTCATTCTAATATTGGAAGCAAGTTAACTGATTCTCCCTCATGTGGTGACCAGAATCTCCCAAAATATAGGCAAAAGTTCAGGCTAAGTATGCATGATCATACTCTTTTTGTTGAGTGGGTAAGCTGGGTTGAAACCCTACACATGCCTGTACATGCTGCTTTTGAATTTCTGGACTGTATTTAACCGCCAAATAGTACGTAACTCATTTGTACTCCAGCCTCTTACCATTTTTCAGTATTGAAAGAACAAAAACTCGAATAAGCTTTGATAGAGCCTTGATGCCAGCACTTTGGAGAAGTTCTATTGATGCTCATAATAGAGAAAATTATATGTTCCCATGGTTCCCTTCAATAGTCTGAACTGAATTATGTCCTCTAGTCACTGATTTATTAGTCAACTGAACTTCCGTCAAGTGCAAGTAACTTTCCAAACTGTTGTGTGGCTGATGCATTCATTTTTTCCTAATCTATCTGTTGGACTTCCAAATCTACTTTAGAAATAAGTCCATATTCACGTGCTCCACAATCTTTCTTGTTGATAATAACATGGCATATCCAGCTCAAATCTTCTGCTGGTTTCTTATTCCGCATTTTCACTGATTCCTCTGTCATCTACATCCTAGAAAAGGAAGTACTCTTGGGAGGTGTCCTTTTCATGGTAGTGAGTGCTATTCCAATGCCAATGTGTTTAGCATCAACTACAAGGATCTTGAGCTTTTGCATCTCCAAGTGATAAATAAATGGCTGAGTTTCATAAAGACAATACAGGTGAATAAAACCCACCCAACCTCTTTTGTCAAGGAACCTCGATATGCCATAGACCCATTAGCATGGCCATAAGATGCTTGCATGAAGATGCCAAGCAATTTGTACTTGGCATGGCCTCATAAATATATGTAACATACATACCTGGGCAGGCTCAATTCGATGACATAAATTAACATATGTGAACTATTTAGAGACCCAAATTTATTCATCTCAGCAATATGCAATTATGCATAGCTTTTCCCTCAAAAAAGTACGTAATTTATAGCTGCATGCTCTCTGAGTTCATCCAGAAGCTTGTCAATATTACTCTTGAAAGGAAAGATATCCATCATTCACCAATCCTTTGAATCTTTGATCAATTTATGTTTCTTGATCCTCTTTCTCTCTCAATTTTTCTGTTATCTAGAACTTGTGCAGTTTGTTTTTTTCCTTTTTCATACCAACAAATAGAGTAGGCAGGAATGGAACCCATGTTGTGATGTTGTGACTCTGCCCTCCTAACCACCCAGGCCTCCGGCCCATTCCTAGAACTTGTGTAGTTATGAACAGTGAAAAGAAAGTTCACAAGTAGAAGTTTCTTAGTTAAAGCTCATTGCCACATTCATATATTTCCATGCATTACAGTATGGTTGTTTCGATTTATACTATAGTTGGGCATAAATTAAAAAAGCAAAATAATCATACATACATATGTATGTGTGTATTTTAACTGTTTTGTTTAAATAAAATTTCATTAACTATAATCACCATTCAGGTATTAAAGTGAACTAGCTCAACGCATCTTTCAATGCGAGCTAAGGTCATCAGTCGAACATTAAAATAGATTGTTTCAAATTATTGGCATAGCAATTGTTAAAGATTGGCATGAGTGCTTGGCTTTGAAGCTTTAGATTCTTAAATTTTGGTACTAAGCTCAGAATTATTGCTGTAATCTTTGCATTGAAGATGATAGTGTAGATGTTCTTTCCCGTGGTTCCCGTGGTGATTCATCAAAGGAGCTGCTTGGACCTGGTATTGAATAGAAAGGAAGTTCCTTTTTTGCAGCCATTGATCCAACCTAGGAGCCAACTGTGTACTTGGGCCTACTTGAATCATTTGTTTCAGGGTACACAGATCATATCCATTTTTTTAGGTAACCAAGTATTTCATAGAAGAAAATGTATGCATTATTCGTATTCTGAAGATTACGAACAATTACCTATTAGCAGTGGCTTACGGAGTAACCCTACATGCTTGAGATTCCCTTGTTCTTATTTATACACATGATTTCGTAGTAGTGGGATTGAGGCAGTGATTGTTCTTGTACAAAACCTGGTTTTTTACTAGTGGGATTGAGGCAGGTTTTGTTCTTGTACAAAACCTTCTTTAGGTGTTTTCAAATGGCCTTAAAGTAAGCATTAACTCTCACCTAAGATGTCACTTATATAGTGAGTTCAATTTGTAGCTCATGGTCTAAGGAGGGTGGTGAGGACTTTAAACTTTCCCTTAACTCGTCCTATGCCAGGGTAAGGGGCTGGGTTGTGTTACTTAGCAACCAATATAAAACTTTGCCAAAACTAATCATAAATCCTAAACGTATAGTATCTGCATATAGAGCCAATGCTAGACTAAAATTCGTGTACCAGACCCCAATTAGCTAGGAAAAGGCTTTAACAATAATGATGATGATAATAGAAAGAGCAATATTAATGTATTATATGAATTATAACTTAGTTGATGTCAAATGCAACAGGTTTTCTTCATTCAACCAATGAATGATAAATAACTACGAGTGAAGGAAATAGATGATTGACATGATGAGAGACCCAATATTTGAAAATAGTACCTAGAATGACCGGAAAAGTTGAAATTTTGTGATATAATTTGATCATTACAACCAAATCCAAAATATTTTGTAATAGATATAATTTGATCATTACAACCAAATCCAACCTATTTTTTAAATCCAACCAATCAGTAGCTCCAACCAATCAGGCAAATGAAATCTGATACATGAAACAGCTAAAAAGAGGAACAATTTTTATTGTGACACATAAGTTGTAGAAGAATTCCTGAACTAAGAATTAAGAGTGACAAGTTCTTCATCATAGTTGCCAAAACTCCTAACATAGGTGGTGGTCCTGCTTGTATCTTGCTCTAGTACTCCAAGAAAGGGATCTCGATTTTTAAATTTTGTGATCTCGATCCCCACTGTGAAGGATCTCGATTCCTACTGTTAGGGTCTCGATATAGGATAATCGCTCATCTGATGGTTTCGTTCATTTATATCTAGTTAGCAACAAAAATATACTTTCTATATAGTTGCAATGCTTGTTGGCTATAGATAAAGAGATCCCTACTTTGAGAATATATATATCCCCAATTATACATACTCTTTAATATGGGGAGTAAGATCAATGAAAGGTTGAGATCAATATCCCAAAAGATTGTGATCAAGATCTCCAAAAGGTTAGGATCTCAATCCCTAACATTTAGGACTCTAGACTCCTAACATATGCATTGTACAGACGGTACTCCCCACCATAGGGATCTTTTAACATTACACAAACTCCCGCTCCCACTCTCGGTCCCACTACAGATCTCAACAACTATGTTCTTCATTACCTAAAATAAAATGAGCACTTAGAACCAAGTGACAAGGAGACAGAAAATAGATCTCAACAACTATGTTCTTCATTACCTAGAATGAAATGAGCACTGAAAACCAAGTGAGGAGACAAAATAAAATTATTAAATATTTAAAAAATCATACTAATAGAAAACAACAGGTCAAACTTTTTATCCATAAGAAAAAGAATCAGGCCATTCATACAAGGGCTGCCAAGATTCCACAAGAAAAGGGAAAGTAAACAATTCAAAGAACATTTGAGATAACTTCATTTGCAACATACATTTGACTTCTCCAAGTTTGGAGTGCAATTCTTGATAAAAGCAACACATTTGTGTAGGTCCGTAGTATCTTGATCATCTGATTCATCCAAAATCTCAGTTCCCTATAGTCCACAAACAAATAATGGATTGTTAGGGAAAAATGACAAAACACGTAAGAAAAGTTGAATGTGTGGGCTGCAATAAGGTAATGACATAACCACAATAAGCCAAAATAGATTCTTAAAAACTGGATTGGTGAATGTTAATGATAGAAGGAACATATGATGGATGGCAGTGGTACCATATTTTACATAGGACTTATTCACGCAAGAGCGCAAACGCGTCAGCTCATAAGGTAATATCTGTTTTTTATGAAAATAATGTAAACAGGAACCTCACACCTGAATTGACGATTTATTCTTATCAAATTCAAAATTATCCAACAATCTTCACAATCAAACATAAAACCCCAGGAAAAGCTCATTCCTAAATAACATAAGCAAAGTTGGATGTTAATTGAGTGATGAGTATAAAAAGGAGCAACTAGCACAATTGCTCAAACAACTTTATCACCACATCACTAGCATACTCCTCAAACATGCTTGCTTCTATGTCAAGTGGAGACTAAAATCCTTGACTCAAACTTGGAACTCACCAGGAGTTGAAATAAGTAGAGAAGAAAACAGTTTGGTACGATCTAGAGAGAGAAAGCGAGAAAGGAAAATAAAGATTATGAAAAACAAGAAGCAAGAGATAGAGAGAGAAAGAAATGTGTGAGAGGTAGAGCGATAGAGAGGGAAAGTTAGTGGCTTAGGGGTCACTTGTGACTTCTACCCTTCTTATAAGATTCAGTAATAACCCTAATTACAACTTATGGACAATATTGCCCTTATTTAAAAATATAAGACAAACAAAGGCTAGACAAAAGATGACATCTCTGTCCACAAACTACAATAAAGCTTATTCCTTTTATTTACAATATTCCCCCTCAAGCTGGTGCATAGATATCAATCATGCCCAGCTTGCTTGAGATATCATGTAATATGTCCCATCCAATGGCTTTGTTGATAGATATCTGCAAGTTGATCTTTAGACTTCACATGAGGAGTCTGAATGATCTTTGCAGCAACCTTCTCTCTGATTAAGTGACAATCTACTTCAATGTATTTAGCCCTTTCGTGAAAAATAAGACTTTCGGCGATATGAATGTCTGCTTCTTTGTCACAATGTAGAGTCATGGGAAGCTTAACTCTAACACCCAAATCGAGAAGAACACCTTTGATCCACATTACTTCGCATGTACCATAAACCATTGCTTTATATTCTAGTTCAACACTTGATCTTGCCACCACATTTTGCTTCTTGCTTTACCAAGTAGCCAGGTTTCCCAAAATAAAGGTACAATAGCCAGTTGTGGATCTTCTATCAGTTTGGCAACCAGCCCAATCAGCATCTGTGTAAACTGCAACATTAGGATGTCCTTAAATTGAGGAAAAAATCCCTTTCCCTGGTGCGTACTTGAGATATCTTAATATTCTGTAACAGCATTGAGGTGGGGTTTATGTGGTGCATGCATAAATTGGTTGATCATGCTAACCACAAGAGAAATGTCTGGTCAAGTAATTGTGAGATACATAAGCTTGCCCACTATTCGTTGATACTGATTAGGATCTTTGAGTAGCTCTCCCCTTTTTCCATGAAGTTTATGATTGAATTCTATAGGAGTATCTGCAAGGTCTAGATTCCAACTTCCCCATCTGTTGTAACAAGTCGAAAACATATTTTCTCTGGGATATGACTATCCCTTTCTTTGATCTCGCCAATTAATTCCCAAAAAAATAATTAAGGGGTCCTAAATCTTTGATATCAAACACCTTGCCTAAATAAGATTTAAGATCCTCAATGCACATTATCCCCTGCCACAACAATATCATCAATATACACAATAAGGGCAGTAATTCCAATAATATGCTTCTTGACAAAGAGTGCATGATCAGCTTGACTACTTCTGAGCACAAATTTCAGCAGTGCCTCACTGAATTTTTTAAACTACGCTCCAGGAGACTGATTAAGTCCATCCATCGCCTTTTTTAACTTGCGAACTTTCATGTCTCCCCTTTAATCTGAAAACCAAGAGGCATGGCCATATAGATTTCTTCTTGGATGTCTCCATGTAATAATGCATTTTTAACATCTGGCCACGATTTATTCGCAGCTAGTGAAAGAATGATCCTCATAGTGTTTAACTTGGTCACAGGCACGAAAGTGTTTTGGTAGTATATACCAAGAGTCTCCAAAAAGTACAACGCCTCCATTTTCACGACCATGCCCAAATGCATTCCATGTCATCAAGTCCTGGAATACACAGTGAGAAGGGAAAAAGGTTATATTGCAGTTTTGGGTCTTTGAGAGATTAGTAACTGAGAGGAGGATACTAGAAATATTGGGAACATGCAAGGTGGATGACAAGTTAACAAAATATGATTCCCTTTCCCTTGATTAAAATAAGAGAGCCATCTGTTATTTCAATTGATTCATGACTAGAACAAGGGATATAAGAGGAGAAATAATCAGCCGAACCAGTCACATGTTGAGTTGCTCCAAAATCAACAATCCAAGGGGTTTCAGAGTTATTTCTAGAGACATGATGCGTTGATGCAGATATACCTGATTGTGCAATGTGAGGCTTAGAGAAGGAAGAAGGGTATCAAATGGAAGCTTGCTATTTGAGATCCAGAAGCTCTATTTTAGGAATAGTCACCAACTCTTTTTGAGGTTTAAAGGAGATGGAATCTTGCTTCCCTTGAGAAACTGGGGCAATACTTTACTGATTGTTACTGAATTTTCCCTTGGAAAGTTTCGCCTTGGGCGTCGAACCAGATCCCAACATGTTTTCTTTGTGCGTTGAGCCTTCACAGTGGGTGCACTTTAATTTCTCCTCCTCATCAGATGCGAGGTTTCCATGACCACTTCCACCACCTCGGCCTCCACCACAACTCCCAAACCATACTCCACCTCGATTACTAGTAAAACTTGTGAATAGGGCAGATCTTCCCATTCATCCATAAAAATTGTCATTATCTTACATCGAGTTTCTTCATGCTGAAGAAGGGAGAAAACAGTACCAAGTGATGGCAAAATGACGCCACCAAGAACATTTGCCCTATTTGTTTCATACTCTCCATTAACTCCCATCAAAATATCAAAATTCACCCTTTGTTCCAATCTCACTCTCTCTATCCTTTGCACAAGAACACTATAGGGGCTGGCACTGACTTAATTCATCCCAAAGACCATTGCTGAAAAAAAAAAGTTAAGTTATAGGGCATAATGACATCATCTAACCCAAAGGGTGAGGTTAGCCCTAAACACAGTTCTTGCGCACCCTTTTTAAGATAGACCTGTGCAACAGTAATGTGTTATAGTTCCTTGAGTAACACACTATAGTAACGTGCTACACTACCAACCATATTGATCGTCGGGCTCTGATACCAAGTTGAAATTAAAGTAGAGAATAAACAGTTTCGTAGGATCTAGAGAGAAAAACAGAGGAAAGAAAATAAAGATGATGAAGAAGGGAGAGAGAGAGAGAGAGAGAGAGAGAGATGTGAGAAATAGAGAAGGAAAGTGAGTAGCTTAGGGGTCACTTGTCACATCTACCCCTCTGGTAACATTAAGTAATAATTTTAATCACAACTTATGGACAATATTACCCTTATTAGAGACATAAGACAAATAAGGACAAAAAAAAGATAAATGACAGTTCTATCGATCAAATACAATAAAAGCTTATTTCTTTTATTTCCAACACCAAGGTCCCAAATCCGAGTCAGAAGCCAACTTGGCATGGTCTCTAAAGAAAATACAATAAAAAATCTGTGACTCGTGTTAGACTCATCCCTGTCTCTTCGTGTTAGTCATCCAGATCCCAGCACCCCTGCCAGGTCAGAGTGACTAGGGGCAATCCGAGACCAAGTAACTGATTTTAAACATTGATGTCAAGAAATATATCAGCATCAAACCACAACGTAATGCAACTCTGTAGACAAACATTTATAGAAAAATGGAAAAAGAAAACACTTCATTGACAAATATTTAACCATAACATCAGTTCGAATAATCCATTGATAGATGTAAGCTTGAAATGCACATTTGACTGAAAGAGCTTGATAAAAAGTTTATGGGCATGACCTGTGTTTCTCTCAAATTTATCAATAGCAAGTGATCTACGGCATCTGTCTCTTAGGATAAACAACGAAAATTTGAAAAACAATTGTATTGCAACATGTAAGACATGCAATTATTTTTTAAGAACACACTAATAAGAAAACTTTGGAATATTTAAGGGTTCTCTATGCCACCCAATGTTTACAGACAGCCACAAAATAACCACCGCCAATTAAGTAAAGAGAAAAAATAAATCAATGAAAGGTGAACCACATTTATTTAGTACCTAGTATAAGTGAGACAGAGTGATATGAGATGGCCAAACAACTATTACCATTTTAGGTTTTATGAATGCCAATGGTTGAGCAGTGAAGGTGATGCATGTGCAACGGGCTCGTGGAAAACTTTTACCTGCAGGGTTTGAGCCTCCCATCCTCAATTGTGTTAAAGCACAATGTTGAAATTACCCTGTATTTCATAGGTTTTAGCAGGGTTATACATACCGATGTGCATGACATAATACCATGACAAGAAGTTCCAGGTGGACCTTGACATGCAACATGTCTAAGGCCAGGGGAATTTTTTTTTTTTTTGGCGGGGGGGGGTTTGGGGCGGGGGCAATTTTATAGAAGATTTTGCAAGCCAATCATCGCCAAAAGAAAAGTACCTCTAATTGATGCTAAGAATCAATGATGACAGCAAATATTGCGTAGCAACTATTTTAAAAGCGGATGCCTGAAAGAACTATGTCTAACTTCAATGTTATAGTACCTCCAAACAGGATGGTTGTGTTAACTATATAATGATGATATGAGGTTGCACAATTGTAGAACTAAAGGGAACCAAGGCAGGGTATAAATACAAGTGACCAGCATATGAATTGCCACAGGGACAAAATCATTTATGAACCAAGGCAAGGTAAATATCTGAAGCACTTCGCAGATGATAGAAAAGAAACTGTCACAATTATGTGAAGGGAAATGGCCAAAATTAAAACTGAAAATGTGATCAAACTAGGATTAAAAAAAAATGCCTGTCCAGGTTAAGTGCAAAGAGGACAAGCACGATTGTTACAGTGGGAAAGGCTGTGGAATAGACAGCCAAGAATGAGAATACCACAGGCAAAAATGTCACATTGGATTCAAAGTTTATATAGCAGTAATGGTCATTATGGTGTCGGGGGCATATTCGGCACAGAAACAATCCAAATGACATTCACTGCCCTGCCAGTGTTTGTATCTCCAATGACCCTTGCCCTTCTAACAGGCATCCAAATGTTCAATCCTAGATGGGTGCATTGATAGTCGAAGGTGACTGATACAATGTGAGTACGCAGGCGGCAGGCCAAGAGAGAATCTAGACGCCCAAGGAATCTAACACATTACTTCAAATTAATTTTGAATGGCGTAAAAATTTTGTAACCCACTCAAAATTTTGAAACTAGTTCTATTCATAGGTGTTGTGAATCTAACATGCTGACTGATTACTTAGCAAGTGAAAGGGCCACCAGATCACTACTTGTTGTTAATGTAGAAGAAGAGTCCTAACTGCATTGTTGAATGTCTCGGCAATTTTTTTCACTAATATGCTGGTTTCATGCATATACATAGACATGCATATCATTTTTTTTTAATGAATTAAAGGTTAACAATCAAAAAATAAAAAAAATAATGATCATTGTGGTATTGATAATCACAGTTAGGTGGATGAGAAGCCAAGTATGGGCAACCATTTGGTCGCAGCACCAAATGTTCGATCAAGATCTCAGAAATGCGGATAGACAGAGCTAAGCATGCAGATTCTTGTGACACGGTCTTCCTCACTAGTAAATAGGTCTAACTAACTAAGAAAACCATCTGCTTGTGACACGATCTTTCTCACTAGTAAATAGGTCAAACTTCTAAGATAACCATCCACAATTACCTGAGTACACATCAGATATCGCACTTCAACTGGAACCAGCACACTAGACAGTCAAGATTATAACTTAAAACCCCATCTACAAAAAACAGCAGGACATAAAAGCCCAAACTAGTCATCGCAAAAATCAGCCTTATAATATCAAATCATGGTATAATTGAGACAAGCAACTAGAGATGGCTAACCAATCAGCCGCTTGGTTACCTTAACAACCAATCAACGTTTATAAACCAGATTTGGTCCATCTTCCACTCAAAGCTAAAGGGACATGACTCGAGAAATAACGTAATAGAGCCTGGAGCTTGCGTCAAACCTAGACGTCATCCCCGAAACCTCTAAAAAGACCGACAAAGAATAGAACTGAACCATTATTGGCTCATATCACACCAACACCCCCAGAGGTACGTATATGTCCTGTGGCTGAGGCACTCGAACTGAACTTAGTCGAGCCCTTGGCAGAGGCAATCATCAGACTGTCTAAATCTTGAAACCTTAACCACACAGGAGGTAAGCCCCAATCAATAAGCAAAGTACTTAATCTAAAGAAGACAATGAACCACACACCAGTACAAGCTCTGAAATCTTAGCCATCCATCTAAAAACCTTCATGATAACGTAGGAGATGCCTGGGAGCCTTATATCATACATTATGATAATCCTAAATATCCTTGATAGAAAATAGAAAGGAGGCTGCAAAAACAGCCTTGAGAAAAGAGCTCTATAAAGAGCATTGATTTCAGGCCCAGATTAAATCACATAGAGGATTACCAACAGGTAAAAGAAAGCTCAACTTACCGCCCAAAATATAGCATATGCATTCTTCTTTCACTACACACTCCCAGATTAAGTGTGTAAAGCTGTTTCCCAGTTCCAATAGTGGTAAAATGGTAGCAACAGGATACCAAGGCAACCCTTTCCATCGTAATGTTTGCCTCTGTAAAGAGATGATCATGCATAACCAGCCAAACAAAAACCAAAATTTTTGTGGCCGTGAAAGGAAACAAGTTGTACTTTGACTAGACAATTGTATTGCTTCTAGCACATACAAGTTCCCATGCAAATACGCAAGAGTTGGAACCAGATTGCTTTGGTTCCCCACAAATCCATCAAGAACCAGGTCTCTTGGCAACACCACCCTGTCAAAATTTTCAAAGAACTCTTGGGATTTGATGGTAAGAAGATAGAAAGGGTAATACCAAACACTAGTTCAACAACTTTATTTCCAAGGTCTAGACAGAACCCCTCCCTTTCCTTGAATGGAATTGAAACAGTGGCTAAGGTTAATCAACAGAGGATGAACCTCACATAGATGATGGATAACACTTTCTTCTCTACATCCAGCTACCCCTCCTTGCAACACCTGAACTATCTAGAGAACAGTGCTTCTGCATTGATTTCCACGCACATTGAAGGAACCATAAGATATCTTTGCAATGAAGGTTCCATCTCCGATGGGGACCTTAAAAGGGCATTGAGATTAATTTCCTCGCACTGAGTATCAGGGAGGCTGATGGACAGAGGGCTGTGCAGGAAGGATTCAGACACCCATCCCCAATCACCCCCACAAAATTAGCTAAAAGCCCAAAACTAGCAGCATTGCACCACATATTCCATGCCAAACTAGAAAGCCACCAGGCTTGGGACTCAGAGACCAGGAGAATGAACCTTTGTTATATTTATTTTTCATATAATCTACTCATATACTCTCTCTGCAGAGAAGCCCCATGCAACATAAATCAGGCTAGCTAAATTAATGTCTCCCAATTTCCTAGGCCAACCTTTCGGCTAGTAGGGGTTTTAGCCCAACTAGGAGTGCAAGGGTTAGATGCCACATTAAGGGATCCATGGTTCGTGATAGGCACCAAGGCTCTGATAAAATAGATAGCTTCGATGATTAGAATGATGCAATATAAAGTTTCAAAATGGTATTTGGATATTTGCATTTTGTCTTCCCGAAGAAATATATGGGTGGAATGCGGAAAATATGACAAAATAAAGTAGGACTAGTTTGTATGTAACGAGATATAGATTATCAGGATGAAACAGTAATATCCAAGATACTACCTGCTTTACCGACCAATAAAATAAGAACTGATAGATTAGCCTAATAAAATTTCTTTAAGGCAGGGCTTCCTTGTGGCCTAAAGAAGGAGCAATATCATCCAACATCTCATCCTTCCTATCGCTGACAATATGAAAAGTAGTGCATTTCATACTTTGATTTTGGTTTTAACATCTTGCAGCTTGTTTTTTTATGCATGAGTTGGCCGTCCTTATCATGCCAACATCAAATCAATTGATTGAGTTTGAAAAGAAACCGAAAAAATAAAAAAGCAAGAATACAAGGAAACCACTATTAGAATCAATGACCACATTGCAGATGTTGCTATTCAGTTACTCAAAAAACTAATATTTCTTAGAACTGTGTACTTGCTATGGTGTAATATTTTCCTACTAGAACATATTCACAAAGAAATGTAGGTAAAAATAGCTAACTTGCAAACTTCCATACTAGACTGCTCCAGCAAATCATTCCTACATGTCTGTCAGATGGTTCCCAAAACATTTAAAAGTAACATTAAGAAACAAGATCGAAAGAAAACAAATGAACAACATACCAGATTGGCATAAAATTCACGGACTTCTCTCCTGATTGAATCCATATCTCCCTTTATGACATCTGGCTTGAACCTGGCATCATCAAGCACATTAAAAGAATGTCAACCATTGTAGAGATGTTCAACCAGAACAATATGCAAAACGAGCGCATAATTACATAACCAAATATAACTATGCTCTGCCAGAAGCTATGTCACCTGTTTTGACATCTGGATTGAGTGTAAGGCATCTGTTGGCCTATGTATATAGACATGATTCTTTTTTGGATGTGGTTTCTATGAGTCCATGTAGAAACATGTCACCTCTTAAAAATCTATTTTTGAGATGGATTTTTGGACTTAATTTTTAAGGATATGTAATCTCTAACATAGAGATCATGGATATGAAAAAATAAAAAAATTTTAAAAATTAGAAATAATAACTCTATTAAGAAAACATTTGGACCTTTAGTTTCAATGGTTTTTAGATAGACCACCTATTTGCATCCATCTTTAAGACGGATGCTTTATACCTCAAGGACCGCAAATGTAGAAATGCGGTCCCCAGCATATGAAACAATTTTCCTTCTTTTATTATTATTATTAGTATCATATATAGACACAACTCATATCAAATAAATATGCTCATATTTAAATCGTCACCATGAAATTAGTACGACATTGTATAACACTTTCTTAACATGTCCGTTTACCCATTTTCTTTTTGTTTTTCTTTTTCTCATTTTTCTTTTTTAAACCTAAGCATGTTTGTGTCCATAAGCAGCGCTATTTTCAATTTCACAATTCTTCCAACTAATGTTATTTTTTTTTCCTAGCTAACTACAAAAGATACAAAAAGAGATAGCACAACATCTTAGAAATCAGGAATTCCTTGAGCTCGAGAAGGAGACTTACAACCATTTACATTCCATCTATACAAGGTTCTAATTTATAAAGCCAAGTAACCTATCATTCCAATGGATTTGCCTCTACCCACAAATCCAACAAACACCACTTAGTGAGCATCTTCAAACAAAAAGTATCACAGAGAATATCTATGATACATGTTGCAGCCACTAACAAAGCACTAATTCCTCCGCAGAGGGGGAGGTAAGTGCTTTGCCTGGTCCTACATGTCATAGAATATTCTGTGACTCATCTTGAAAAGACGTTGCCCCTCAAGTAAGCCCAAGATTCATCTCATATGCCTATTAAAATAGTGTAAAGAAAAGAGATAGAGGGCACAATCAATAAACATGTCATCCTGCATGCAATGTTCATTAGTGATACACCTGCATACACATTTGCATAAATACTGAAACATTGCCTGTTTTGTTAGTACATCCAGAGGAGATGCCAAAAATGTCCCAGCAGCAGTTTAGCTAGCGAAGATTAGCTGTTTCCTTAGTTGAGTTTGGTTCTCGTCATTTTTCTGAAACTCATCAAAACCAGCTGCAACCATGAGGACATCTATCAAAAAGGAAAACCAAACTCTGACAACAGCCCAGCCTGGAAATAACTAAAGTGGAGTCTCTTGACTGGTTTAGAATCTGTTTCAAACAAAAATAACTTAAATCATTTGTTATTGAAAATTACAAGGCAGGGCATGGGCAAGAATGAAGCCTTTCCACTGACAGAGCACATTATTGGTTTGCTCATTAAAGCCTTTGGCAATTATATTCTTAGTAATAGAGAATTTAGAGTCTTACATAACATATGTCATGAAAGCGTATAATAGGACACCTAAAGAGTTAATTTGTAGGGTGTGGAAAAGAAAGGAGTCTCTAGGGGATATATTGAACTAGTGAGAGATATGTGTGAGGAAAACTAGTGGAGAGACAAGTAAGTTTTTTGTGACAGTAGGCCCGCATCAAAGGTCAACGTTGAACCCATATCCCTTTGTTTTTGTTATGGACGAGTTAATTAGGAGTCTACAGGATGAGGTACGACAAGCTTGTTTGCAGATGACAGTTTTGATTGATGAGACTAGAGGCCATGTCAATGCAAAGTTAGAACTTTGAAGGGATGCCCTAGAATTTAAAGGTTTTAAAAAGAGTCAGACTAAGACAGAATACATGAAATACAAGTTTAGTAATAATACAAGTAGAAATGAGGAAGAAGTTAAGATTGATGACCAAGAAATACTTGAAAGAGATTATTTTCGATATCTTGGGTCAATAATCCATGAAAATGGAGAGATTGAGGAAGATGTTGCACATAAACTTAGAACTGGGTGGGCAAAGTGGAGATGTGCACTCGGAGATTTATATGATCTTCACATACCAATTAAACTAAAGGGAAGTTATATAGGTCGGTTGTAAGACCAACCATACTCTATTGGTCAAAATGTTGGGCAGTCAAGAAACAACATATATCTATAGGATAAATGTAAATGAGATGAGGATGTTGAGATGGATAAGTGGCAAGACAATAAATGATAGAATTCATAATGAAAATATACGAGGGAACTTAGGGGTGGCCACAATTGGTAGTAAGATGAGGGAAAATAAACTTAGGCAAGTTGGCTATGTACAACATAGGCCTAATATAATATTGGTCAAGAGGGGCGATTTAGTTCGAGTGGAAGACTCTAAAAGGGCAAGGAAAATGCCCAAAAGGATATAGATCAAAGTAGTGAGAAGTGATATGGTGGTCCAATTGAAGCTATGGCCCTTGATAGAGCAGAATGGCAGAACAAGATTCATGTATACGACACCAAATAGTTGAGCCAAGGCTTGGAGGCTGATGATGATGACAATGACGATGACGACGACGACATAACATATGTCAAGAAAACATCCACAGTTACAACAATGATAGAAGAGTTAAGTGTTTGCTAAGTTGGTTATGATTTTATCATTTCACACTTCTGGCAGAGATACAAATCCTGATCCTGCCCATACCTGACAGCTGCCATCCTTACATGGAAATAGAAGTAAAAGACTAATAAAGCTATCATGTAGATAAAGGGATCTAATTTTTTATGTGATTTCTTTTTTCGAGGGTGGGTTTCACGTAAAAAGAAATAATAATGGAAAATTTTTATCATGGTATCAGATTTTATTTATCAATGTAATGTTTGTTGCAATCTATGTCTATCACATAGATATAGATAGTTATCTCAAGATTTAATGAAATAATGGAAACTTCGCATTTTTTGGAAAATTTTAAATAGTATGTTAGGAACTTTTAAGAACTTTGCATCAGACCTATCAGTTTCCAAATATTCTTATCCCATCTTGTTTATCCCAATTTACATAGGGATTCATGTGTAGAAGCCTTATAAATAACTTTTAGGTATGCCAAAAGGTCAGGTGCCTCTCTCAACCTCTTATATATAATTGGTATCATAATTTTAATCAATAGCCACTCTAACTAGGTACATTGTTCCCTTTTTTCATCTTTTTTATTCCAACTTCATTTTTATTTTATTTTCTATTTAATTCTTCCTGCAACATCTCCCACTCTAAAACAGTATGTTTATTACCCTTTTTCTTTTTCCTTTTTTTTTATTCTTCATGCAACTTCAAGTTGTTTTCTTCCTTTTTAATGTTCATGAAACTTCATGCAAGACATACATCATCAATTTAAGAGCATGTAATCAAAGTATGTTGGCGGGTTGGTTTCTTCAAGGCATTGGTGCTTTTTTTTTCATGCTAGAAATTGTTTGATGGCTGAAAAATTGTTTTCGATAATGTTTGATTTTTTAAGGGCATTGGATGATAAATTTTGTAATATTAATTAATGATACTAAAAATATTTATTATTAATGATTTTGGTTATAATAATTATTGATAAATGTAACTATTATAATATTGAAAATTACAACACATAAATATAATCTTGTATTTATAGTGCTATAATGAATATTGTAACAATTACAAAAATTAATTAGAACATGATTAAATATTATAAATATGTTTTTTTTAAGCTGTTAACTGTTTAAATATTACAAATATGTTATCCCTCATATAAGTATAATTATGCAATTATGGGTTAATAATAATATATAATGAATATTGTCACAATTATAAAAATTAATTAGAACCATGATTAAATATTATAAATATTTTATTTTTATTTTTGAAGATGTTAACTGTTTGAATATTATAAATATGTTATCCCTCATATAAGTATAATTATGCAATTATGGGTTAATAATAATAATTATAATAGTAATACTTATAAAATTATGATTATTCTAATTATACATAATTATATTAATAACAACTATATAGTATCAATTAATTTATTAACAAGTATTATATGTAGTTGTAATTGAATTTGATATATGTTATTATAAAATATAACATAAACAACTTTACTCATTTGCTAAACCAATATCTACTATTCAATCACATCGCATAAAGAGAGACAGAGCAGAGTCATATTTTGTTTATCTTATCTGTATTATTTCTCATGATATTTTTATCAATATTCATAAAATCTTCTAATGAGACCTGCCAAGGAAGTGGTTCGTAGTTAGTTTTTTTTTTTTTTTTTTTTTGGATAATTCAGTGGAGAAGACATGTCCCTACCCGTTTTTTCAATAGATTAGGGAGTTAGAAGACGTATTATTTTCACAAAATTACCCCAATTGTTACACTAGATATCAAACTGTAATATTTCCCAACTAACAACTTCCAACCAAAACGGTCAAAGACCTGAACACAAAAAAGACTATTGCAGATTGCAGAATTGAGCAAATCATGACCAAATGATACTCGATTAAGAGATACAAAACAAGAAAGAGAAAAAGGATAGAAGGGAAGTAGAGATACGCAAGAAGAGAGAGAAACAAAATGAGGGAATTAGAAAGCAAAAGTAGAGAAGGAAAGAGATAATAACCTCAAACGAACATCAATCGGATCCTCGTTGGGTAACATCTCCGGAATCTCATCATAAAGTCGATTTGCTCCTCCATCTGCGCATAGCCGTAGTTGCGCTGCTCTACAACACCATTTCTCACACTTAAATTCGAAACATGAACAATGAAAAGAGAGAAAGAAGAGAGGGGAAGAAGGAGAGGGGGAGAGAGAAAGGAGGAGAAGTACCGTGCTTCCAGAGAAGGGGTGTGAAGGATGGAAGGCGGTGATTGAGGACGATGAGGCCGTAAGTGGCTTTGGAGGGGTTTATTGGAGTTGGGAGAAGGAAGAGAGAGGAATGAGACATTAACTCCGCCATGACTGACCTGAACCCCTGTAATTGCAATAGAACGAGATGAAAAGAGAGAGCTGAAAGACTGGATTTTGAAAGAGAGATTCGGAAGAGAGAGAGATTGTTTAGCGCGATGGCGGGGAAGATTTTCTTCTGGACTTGTTATATCAAGTCCTCCGGGCTTTTCCAAAATGACTAAATTACCCTAGATGACGAAACCGAGATTAGACTATATAATTACAGTAGCCACCGAGATTACGGTATTCAATTAAAATTTAAAAGTCATTGACATGATAGTTTTAGATGGTCGTTACCCAAGAATACAAGTGGGAGGTTTTTTTTTTTTTAATAGAATAAGTTAGAAAAAAATTCATATAAAACCCTGATTCTCCATCTTATTTCATGGTAGATCCTTTTCATAAGGCATAAAAAAAATCTTTAAAAACTTCACCATACCCCATAAAACTTAAAATATTTTTTTATTATATTTTTTGGCTTTTGCAACCCCTCAATGCGACGTTGAAGGTTCCCTATCTCTTTCTCATATTGGGTTATCTCTTTCGTATATTAGGTTAAAAAATAAAATGGGGTGGGAGATATAATAGGGTGGGTTAAAAAAGTTTTTTTTGGGTTAAAAAAGTTTTTAAAATGTTTTTGGGTTGAAATGGTATAAAAAAGTTTGTAGTGACTAACTTTCATGGTCAAAAGATAAGACATGAGGGGTACGGTAAAATCTTTAGAGATTTTTTTATGCTGCTTGAAAGAAAAATAGAAAGAGGGTCTACCGTGAAATAAGATAGAGAATTAGGGTTTTGTACGTAATTTTTCCAAAAATTTATATAAATTTGCAACATTCTAAGGTAAAAATTAGGTGCACTCAAAATTTAGTAGAATAGCATTTTAAAAAACTTTTCAATTGCACATCTCGACCTCATGATGAATGGGCACAAAGGAAAAAAAAAAAGGATTTTAAACTCTAAAAACAGTCCAGCTTGTTATCTAGACCATCTATTTTCAAGACTTATAAGTGTACATAGATCTATTTGATATATACACTGGCATGTACACTATATCTTATATTTTTATTAGAAACCTCAAGGGCATGTCGCTTTTGTTAATCATGTTTTATTTTTACATAAGGGAAATGTTTCTATACTTCCCCTGTAACATAGAAAAGGTGAATTTTTAAAAGTACTCAGAAACCCTAACTGAAGCGCTGGTTTTAATGGCTGAAGGGATGTTGGCGAATCTGAACAAAACCCAACAAAAATGGAGCTCAAACTGTTGATGAAGCTACGAGCAAGGAATTTTTGTAATAATTGGCTTATGTTATTGTGAAAAATGGGGAGAACAAGCTCGCTGCAATGGGAAGATAAAAAGCAACGGATTGACTGAGTAGTTGGCAAGTTTGCAGGGGAACCGAAGGCTGAGTTTGTGGGGGCATTTACACCAAGACACCCTGGTTTTGAATTTTTTTGGCAGTACCTCATACCAATTTTTAAACATTTAATGAATTAGTTTGAAATAAATTATGAGTCTTAAATCTTAAAGCTAAACCGCCATTAACGGTGACCAAATTTGGGGTTATATGCCAGTATGAGCAGGGTGCAATAACTTTTACGGACACAATACGCACCACTAATGCACTGAATCCTACAGAAAAAATTTTAAAAAGGACTGGTGCCATTACATGTACGGATTGAATTTGTGTGTCGTGGCGGCTGTGGCCTTTGAACATTTTAATATTTTTCGAGCATCAGAATATAATACTGCTTTTCCTTTTGAAAAAAGGTTTGCGTGTCCTTTTCATTGTGTACGCAACAGTATTGATTCTTTAGGGAAAGAGTGCTAAAATGTTGATTTTATATTGCAGAAAATTACAAGCAGCCCCTAAGAATAAGACTTCGTATGCAATTTACCTCCAGCCCCTAAGAATAAGACTTCGAATGCAATTTACCTCCAACCAAATTTGTTTTCACTTTTTACTCAAAATATACTTTCCTAACAAATACCCTTAATCAAAAAAATAATAATAATAATAAAAACTAAACTACCCTCTCTTGACTTTTACCCATGCATGTCTCTCCTCTTTTTTGGGACGAAATGCACTTTGACGAAATGCAGTTTCCAAAAGGCAGCCTCTCCTTCCTCTTTTTTTGGACAAAATGCAATTTTCAAAAGGCAGCCTCTCCCTCCTTTTTTCTTGGACAAAATGCGGTCCGACATATCCCTACAGCGGTGCGATAGATTCAAAAGGCGGTTCGATAGATAATGAAAGCAGTCTGACACTTTTTTTTAGTTTTATGGAGCTTGGCCATTGGTATATGGCATTCGGCAGCCCATGTAGCGTTTGGTACTATGAGTAATTCCACGTGAATATTTGGCCAAAATTAATTTTTTTAATACACGGAAAAGGGTATTTTTATCAAAAAAAAAATTTGAATTTTTTTACTTGGGGGCATTTGCTAGGAAAATATATTTTGAGGTAAAAAGTGAGAACAAAAAGTTTGATCGAGGGTAAGTTGCATAAGAAGTATATTCTAGAGGGTTATTTGTAATTGCTCTTATGGTGTTTTACTTTTACTCCCCTGGTTAATACACGTACTAAGGTGGATTTTTTTCAAACTGGAATTTTGGAAACCACTTAAAAATTAGTAGATGATTATTTTCTAAAAAAATTATCTCACTATTTAAAAATTGGATGGTTCTTACGCAATCTCGAGAATTTTTTTTTAAATTGTTTAAAGGGTATAATTAGGACTTTTTTTACTGAAATTAATCTATGGGTTGAAGAGATTGCATCCTCAAAACTTGAGGTCCTAAAGTTAATTCTAGGTGGAGTTTGACTTGAGGGACTAAATGTACTTCTACTTCTCCTAGAGTAAGCTATCTTTTGGCTTTTATTATTCTTCTAACGTGTCCACTTTCATGACTAAATTGCATAAATTCTTTTTTTCTTTTTTTTTATAATATTAGGAAATTTTATTACTCATCAAATATTACAAAAGTAATGATCCTATAGGACTTTTTTCTATCCATGTGTCTAGGACTCCAAAACATCACCATTAAATTTGGTAAAAAACTCTAAAAAAGTTATCACGTGGTGTGAAATTTGACTTTTTTAAAAATCCATACCAACTTTAATGGACATCTTTTGACGATCCTATACACATGGATCGGAGAGGGTCCTATAGGATAATTTTTCATATTATAAACACGCTATACATTAGTAAGATCACCCACCACAAAAGTCGTACATCCAAAGATACCCCAAACTTTGCCAAATCAGCTACAACATCATTCACCTTTTGAAAAAATGCTTCAAAGAAACAAATAAACCTCGACATAAATCATATCGTAAGGATGCACATCACCGCACCCTACCATAAAGGAATGGCAATGTCGAATTTCCAGAAAGACCACCATCATAAACATGTGGTCTACGGTACAATAATGTACCACAATCCTTCCCAATGACCAGATTAACATGAGCAAGGGCCAAGTAGCATTTTGCCATTTCCGCAAAAGACAAGGGTTGTTGCGGTCGCTTGGTTTATAAACCCATGACAAAGTCACGAAACAGTTAACCAAGACAAAAAGAAACAAAGAAAAAAGAGGACAGAAATAAAAAATGCAGAGCAGACCGAGCATGAACAGTAATTGCACAGGCACTTAGCGATTCATTTATGTGTATAACTTTTTACAATGAAGAAGCTCCTCTAGTCCTCTTCCCAAGCTCCGATCCCCCAAAAAACCATAAGTATCAAAAAGGAAGAGAAAAAGAGATGCAGAAAGTAGTTCCTGATTTCTCTTTTGAGGCAAATCAGTTATCAAAGAGAAATTTTCTAAATTGAGAAGGAGCAGCTCGTCTTGGTTGCTGCGGGGATCTGGCTGCTGGAGTTCTCGGTTTCGCTGGAACTCAGCATCTGAAAAACCAGTCCGGCCATGTCAATGCTGGCCATGACTGTGGTCTTTGAGTTGGAGAAGGACGGGCCGAACGTCTCATGATTTCCATAGGTGTAAGTGTCACAGGAAGAAGAAGAGCCACTTCTGGTTATCCCGGCCTCGAGCCCCTACATCACCTCCATCACAGCCTCCTCTCCAAAACCCCCCTCCTCCCCACTTAGTACCTTCTCGTCCTCATCTCCTTGAAGTAGCCATTGCTGCATTTTAACACAGAAGAACAAAAACCTACACCGAAAAAGCTCTCTCTCTCTCTAAAAGAGGAAACCCACAGGGCCCGACGAAGCCTCAGGGCCTGACGAAAGCCCACCGGGCCTGATGTCGTAATGCGTCCCACGATTTATAAAACACTTTTTTATTTAAAATTGAAGTTTTTGGCCTCTTTAATCTCCTCTTCAGTGCATCGCCTTTTTGTTTGGTGCAAAAGCCCAAATATATTACGCTTCTAGGAGCCCAAAATTATAAGAACTTAACCCCTTGAGCCCATACATCAACTTAAATTAAAAAAAATGTCTAATTGTGCTTTTTATGTACTTGAAAACAATATACAAGAAAACAATATACTTATAGAATGAGTGTAACAGAGATGATGTTAAAATGAATGAATGACAATATAATAAATGATAGAATTTGAAATGAATACATTTAGAAAAATTTAGGTATGGCGCTAATAAGCAATAAGATGAGCGGGAGTTAGTGCTTGCAAAATCGAACTGGAACGGTGAATCAAACATGGGTCTGGAAGCTATTTAATCGACTTAACAGGTAAACCCACCGATTCAATCGTTCTAACCGGGCAAGTCCTGGGCGGTAAAAAAAGTGTTAGAAAAAAATAGAAAGATAAAAAAAAAACTACCAAAATATGAAAAAAAAAATGAATTTTAACGAATTGATTTGTGCTTAGGGATATTTTTAAAATTTTATAAAAAAAAATGAGAATATATAAAAGTGAGTATTAATGACAAATTTTTTTTTAATCTTTACCGTAACTATTAAAAAATGTATTACAAACCAAATCCTTTATTTTTTAAAAATTAAAAAAATGTATTACAAATATTTCGATGGTATTTTGATCAATTTCTATTTTAAGAATTATTTTTTTATATTTTTATTAGATTATTATATTTTTGAAGAATAGATGCTCGAAATTTCAAGTGATTTGGATTTGT